GCCCTTGTGGCGGCAACGTGGCGTATACGCAATATGCAATTAACTCGGCCATTTCCTTTCGGTTATGTTTCACTTTCGTCGCTGGCGCAGGTGCAAAGTGAAAATATGTTGCCAATTAATGTTAATTAAATTCATATTTGTGCCCCGAGTCTGCACTTTGAGGGCCATTTCATTATTGGCTTGAGTGTTTTAGCTGTATAAGTTATTGCCACAAAATGGCTTGAAATGTATTGTAATAATTTCACAATTTATGTGATTTTATATACTCGAAGTTATATATTAGCCAGGAAAAAAATAAATGCCAGTTGATAAAGTTATTACAGAAAACTTAAATCTTTTAATAGATTTACCATGCACCTAAAAATATGAATTATTTTTTTTTAAGCTTTTAAATTATATCAGGAATTATGTAAAGTGAGTCTTTTAAGAATATTTTAGAACACCATTTAGAATAAAATCTCCCTAAGCTGCATATAAATTCGAGTGCTTGGACGGAAAATGCACTTTGTATGAATAGAAACGACTTATATAAGAAGCTTCAGAAGTCATTTGCAAACATAGAATCGCAGCACACTGGAATTGGTGCATTTAGCCAGTCGACTGACAATAGAAACAACAACAAAAACCGTCAGAAACCATAGCCATTTCGGCCAACGTCGCTAGTTTGCATAAATTTTACGCACATTTCCCATAGCATACTATTCGGGGCAAATGAATTTTGCATAGAGGGGTGAATATTCGGTGCATGTGTGGGTGCTCGCCGCCATCTACACATTTCCAGGGGCATTAATGGATTCCATTTCATAATTTACAACGATAACATTTGGAATACATAATACTTGATAGCTAAACAAGCGTATAATTAAAAGTTGTGTAAACCAAAAGCTTACCTACGGGCCAAATGGATGTGTTGAAAATTGATTCGGTGCGATGATGAAATTGCAGCTCAATTAATTACCAGGGTATGAAATATGAGATTGGTTCCTTCTGAAAATAAAATGGAAATAAGTGAAAAGGGCAAATCTTAATGATTTTTCGTTTAATAAAAGTTCTCAGAAATAGTGTTCTGTGCTTGTCACACTCACTTGTTGAATGCCCCAAGGACAAGACAAGACTTATTGGTTGTCGGAAAATTTACATAATTAATTGGCGTTCTTTGTCATTCAATGTCAAGTGCAAGCAATCGATACAAGCCGATTGCGAAAGCCCAACAGAAATCAGTGCAGATAAATGGGCAGTATAATGCGCACAAATTAACATGCCATTCATCTTATGGGGCCACTCCTGGCCAGTCGGATCCGGACTCCGGACTCTGGAGCAGTTAGTGGCCGGAAATCTCGACGACCAGCACAATCGCATCCCAAAACATACACACGTGGATGCCAGCGACCCGTATGTGTAATATATAATATCAAGCACCGGCAATGCATAATTCATTTTAAGCACCACTTACCGTTATGACGAACGGCCATGCTGGCGATTTAAGAGCGAGTTTAATGCCTTTAATACGTCATTGGGTCGGCGTTAGGACCGGAAGCGGAGCTTCTGCCGGTTCTGACCCTGATTTATGGTGCGTATACTTGATGCGGCCGCTAAACCGCACAAAATGTCTGCTAAACTTCTTCCTACCATTTAATAAAGCCCACAATAAAACTTCAAAACAACGGTGGGAGGGAAAAGAGGAGAGTAACCTGCACAGGACTATTATTAAATTTTATAACATTTCGATGCGTCTGCATTTCAATTGGGCATAAACGGCTTAAGGTTTCCGGCCTGCACACGGTGGGCTATAAAGTTTGGCCTGGTATACTGGTATCCTGGCTGCCGGGTATAGTCGAATTTTGATATATTCATACTAAAGGGATGGATAAACAAGCTCTCTGTTTGTGGGGGTATTTTATGGACAAGCTCAATTTAATTTATCAAAGTCATAAACTTTTCAATGGTTAAGCCGCAGAATGCGTCATAAATGCCGGAGATTCGCAGAAGCTCAGGTTGTAGCTTGTTTATTGACTTTTAAAGTTAGTTTTAGTTTGCTAACTTTAACATTTAAGCCCCTCTGCTACAAAAAAGTATAAATAGATTTAAGTATATACAAACTAAAATGGCCCATTTTTTCAAACAAAGCTATAAAAATCAGAGTGCTTAGTAAACAAATACGAATGTACTTCAAATTCAACACACATCGAGAGACTCACTAAATTCGAGTCACCACCCACATTTGGCTACCAAACATTGACCCCGGGCTCTGCTTCGAAATCTGTGAAAATGTTTTTAGTGCCTCACGGTGCGGCAATTCGATTACCAACCGTTTGATGTTCTGCCAGCCTGTCCCTCTCCAATTAGAGAGCCACTAACGACTCCTTTTAGCTGAAAACCGGACATATACGAATACCAAAAAAATAACAACAACCAGTTGGCAAACAACCGCGGGCAAGACAGGCGGAAAGGAAAACAAAAATCGAATTTTATGTCGCTTAGTCAGACACGAACCGAAAATCTGTTTATATATCGCTCAATGTCGAGCTCTTCCTGCAGCTCATCCTTCTCCATTTCCATGCCACTGGAGAACCTGGTCTATCGGCTTAGAAACTGCGGTTGTCGGGCCAAGTTTTGTGCCATTTAAGCATAATTTGCCAGAAATGGGTAACGAGTAGAAGAACCCAACTCTCAGTTGTCGAACAAAACACACATAAAATGCGGCAATAATAATTTTTAGCCCCCAACTGGAGGTTTCTGGTGAAAGGTAACGCTTGTCGTGGCATTTTGAGTTGGGATGGGATATGTGTGTCTATAATTTATGCAACGCCGCATTTTCATGGCTCATCCACACACACCCCCCCTCTGACACACACTCACATCCGACATCCGCCTGGCGGAAATCAACAAAAATTTATTGAGCATAAATTCAAATCCGCCAGATACTCTTCGCCTGCCCCTGACTGTGGCACATTGCTCCGCTTTTTGTTTCGCTTTTGCTTTGTTTATGAAAGCGTTTTATGGGATTTTAAATTGATTTTATTTCCATTCGTTCTCGTATTTATTCGTCTCTGATTTCCTTAAAGCTTCCTGCTGCTACTGCCGTCCCAATTACATGGGCCGTACAAATGAAGAGATGTACATAGCTCCTGAAATGGTAGGACAGCTGTTGCTTTTGTTCTCGAGCCATCTGACAGGGGGATGAGTGTCAAAAGAACCTCCAGGTGCTTCCTGGCCACTTGAAATGAGCCGATGTCTCCGTCTCCATTTCCAGATTGGCATTGTTGTTCTGTTTTCTTCGATGCTCGCCATTCAATGAGCATTCAATGAAATGTTTTATTATTGACAAAGACACAGACTGGCCATCTTATCTTAGTTTTCCCACCGGACATGTTTTTTTTACACAGAGGAGAAAACATACAACAAAAGTGAAAGAAATTGTTTCAGTAAACACGATTCCACGCATTAAATTGAAGCACATATTTACCCTGATTTCAGACAGTTCAGAACCCAAAGTTTGTCTTGATTGATAAATGCCTTATTGATTACCAATTTTGTTAATATTTTTTTCCTGTGCTCGGAATATCTAACCTCCTCCTGGCCCTGTCCCATTTAATTCTCGCTTTTGTTCATCGCTCGGCTGTCGCTTTCAGTTCAGCTGCCGCTGTGCAACAAAATTGGGTGCGATAATATCTAATCATTACTTATCATTATTGGCTCTGGTCAGACGCCGTGTTTCTCCGCCTCACTTTCTTCTGGTTGCCATTATTTCGGTGGGGAGAGCTCCCAGTCTAATGGGCGTGTTTCTCGGACCCCTAGGAGTTTCCTCTTTCTGCCGTCTAACAATTCTGTTCGCTTTCCTCTCCCAAACCCGTCGCAGCGATTACTGAACAAATTAAATTAGTGAAATGCCGAAACGAGGCGAAGGAGTCAGGTGCGACAATCTAATTGCACAGGTGGGAGAGTGTGTTCGTGTCAGCCTTGTGGGGACATATGTTAAATCTGCTAAAAATGCGTCCAGGTGTCGGCAGCCAATTGGCCTCTGGGGTGCCCGAGCTTCCTGTCCCATCTTAAACAAGCTAATTAGGTTTAATGGCCAAGGACCATTTAGGTAGCCGCTTACGGTGCCTGTCAAATGCCAAATGGGGTTTCCCAAAGGACAATCGTAGGTCAAGGGTTACTGGAAGTGAGCGGTAGTCTGTGGGCTAATTGTTTTGAACTTTTGAATATCTAAATGACGCTGGAGTGGATATAATTTTGTCTATTGCTTGGAAAACTATTTTTAAATCTTAATCTAAAAATTTTTAAAGAAATTCGAAGGTGTTAAAACATTTGCCAAACTAGTTATGAGATGAAGGTATCATCCAACCTTAACCAGTCTGAGAATCTTGACATTTTTGAATGTAAGACACTAAAATAGTTTATTATACATATGTAGTAAGTATAGATGCATATGGTTTTTTTTATATCAAAGAAATAATAGTTATTTTCTATATTTAATGTGAATTTGTTTTTACCAGGTGGAGACAACTATCTAGTTTTGTTAATAAAACCTACAACATCTTTCTATTTTCAAAAATAATACTAATACTTCTTATTTACACGAATACCATGAAAATATTACAAGTTCTACAAGTTTACAAGGAATAGGCCACAAACCAATTGGGAAAAATCTTGGCTAGAAAAAGCTTGCTTTTGAAAAAGCTTTAAGGGAGAAATAGCTAAGTAATACGTTTGATTCAAATTCACACCAATACCAACACCAACAACTAATAACAAATGCCTTGGAATTCCTGCACACATAAACAATTCGTTACCCTATATCCTTGAACTGCTCATCCTCGAGACCTCGACATAGACCTATCACAAGGAGCCCAAGGCGAATCGATCAAACGATAGCTTTGGCATGGCAGCGCCACTCAAATCAACAAAAACTGAATGAAAGCAGGTCAACCAACTGGCGAACTGCGGCAGGTCCTGCAAAGGAATTCCTGAGTCGTCAGAGTCACAACAACCTCAGAATGAGTGCCAACAAAATATTCCTGCGTTACTATCCGCCAGGTGAGAAAGGTTATTATTCGAAGCGTTCATTAAGTATTAATTGTCGTTGGGTTATCCTAGGTCTGGCCATAAACTACAGAACGCTGAAGGGCAGCGAGCGTCTGCGCCACTTCGATCTGCTCGACCTAGATACCAAGTAAGTAGATCAGACTACAATTATTTGTGTTTTTTTTTATTAATTCCCTTCTTCAGAACAGATATTGAGCCTCTGGCGGATAAGATTCTAATGCAAACTTTAGCTGAAGCCGCGGAGGAGGACAAGTCCCCCACGGCTGAGGAGAAATCGTTGGCAACTCGTCCTTTTAGCGGCAGTGTCAGCAATTCCCAGAACACCTTCAGTGCCTTGAAGCAAGCTTTGGGAAAACTGCAGAGAAAACTTCGCGAACCAGTCAAAAAGAAGTTTTATTTGCACAAATGCCACACTTCCCACATCCTGCCGCTGACAAACGTGTGTTTCGACCGAAGCGGCGATCGTTGCATCACCGGGAGCTACGATCGCACCTGCCACGTGATCAACACCCAAACAGCTGAGGTGGAGCACATCCTCACTGGGCACGACAATGTGGTATTTTCGGTGGATTTCAATCATCCCAATTGGTAAGAAAAATAAAAGTGTTTTGAAGCCACAGCCAACTCTGCGTATGAGTAATATGTCCGTATTTCTTAGTGACAAAATAGTAACTGGATCGTTCGATGGCACTGCCAAGGTTTGGTCCACCAGCAGTGGACAGTGTCAGTGCACCTTTTACGGGCACACCGCTGAGCTGGTGGCCGCTGAGTTTCATCCGCTGAATGCCAGTAGTATAGCCACGGCTTCCATGGACGGCACTGCCAGGATATATGATGTGGAAACGGCGCACGAGCTTCACCAATTGACCCATCATGGAGCCGAAGTGATCGCCGCACGGTATAATCGCGATGGGAACTTGCTCTTGACAGGATCTTTCGATCATACGGCAGCTATTTGGGATGTGAGGAGTAAAAAGTGGGTCTACTTTCACCATATGAATCGGATTCCCCTAAAAATATTCATTTTTGTAGCCTCTGCCATCAGCTACGTGGTCACAGCTCCGAGCTATCCAACTGCATTTGGAACTTTAGTGGATCCTTGATAGCCACCGGTTCCCTGGATCACACTGCTCGGATTTGGGATACCAGAAAGCTGGACCGCGAACTCCATCTGGCGGCCAAGCACAGCGACGAAGTGCTGGATATTAGCTTCGATGCCGCTGGAAGACTCTTGGCCACCTGCAGCAGTGATTGCACGGCGAGGGTGTGGCAACTAGAGGGATCGTCAGAGCAGTTGGAAATGCTCTCATTAATGGCTGGCCACACCGATGAGGTGTCCAAGGTGTGCTTCAGTCCCAGTGGCTGCATGCTGCTGACAGCCTCGGCGGATAACACGGCCCGGCTATGGCTGGCGGATTCAGGAATGTGCTCCCAAGTGCTTTCCGGTCACGAAGCAGAAGTCTTTAGTTGCGCCTACAGCTACTCTGGCGACGCGATCCTTACCGCTTCCAAGGATAACACCTGCCGGTTCTGGAGGTGATACGACTGGTACACAGTGCAGCTGAACGAAGATTAGTTGGCCTGTTTACCAAAAAATGGAGTGAAAGCACGGGTTTGGTTTTTTTTTTATCAACATTTACTACAAACTCGAGCGTAATTTTGCTTTTCTCTCTTAAGATTTTCATCATCAACTTGCTTCTTATAAATTAATAGTTCTTAGTTTTCATTCTTTCTTTAAGATCGGACATTATTGTGGGTTTGCGTTTTGTTTGCTTACTTTAGGTTTTAGGTATTACTTTCTCGTTTCCATACATAGATAGTTACAGATTTTGTTTGCTAGTTTGGTTTTTCCTTTTTCTGTATTTTTTTTTCACTTTTCACTTTTTTTGTTTACTTTACATTATTAAGTTTCGCTTTCACGCCACGCGATACATTTTTCTCATATACATATACAAAATATGAACAAAAAGTGTTTTCGGTAACAAACATTTTACAACTTACATAAGTCCGCTTCGTTTCGGAATCAATAGTTAATACATAGTTTTGAAAAATAAAAATTCAATTCTGATAAACAAAAATCTGAGCGGATACGTAATTTCCGCTGCTTTTTCTTTTTCAATAGTTTGCTATTTTTATTTCTTTCCAATATTTGTGGAAGTTTTTCTGAAGTTTGGACTGATGATTACTGATTGATGAGGTGTGACGGAACGATAGGGCACACAGAGGGTTAACATTCACATGGGTAGACAAGGTCCTGCAGAGTCGATCTGTTCAGATAAATCAGATAGATGTAGTGGTATCTGGTGTGCTGCTGGTGTTGGCTTTGAGCCATCCGCTGTTTTAGTCCCATTTCGGTTCTCTGAGGTCTGCTTAGGTACGCTCTGTTCTAGATCTCTTCTATATCATAGAGTTGTGTGTGTGGTCGTGTGTGTTGGCTGTTCGTTTGTTGTGTTTTAGGACTGGCTTCGTATAAACTATAAATGTATCGTAATGCTTATTATTATCATTATTAGTAGGTTTTTCTTTTGTGTTTATCAAAGTAGAAAACTGTTTGGTGTGAGTTTTGTTTGTTTTTGTTTGTATGTTTGCTTCGTTCAAGTTGTGTGGCTCTGTGTTTTCTGTCCGTCTTGCGGCATTTTTTAACTGGTTTTGTATTTCGTGTTTCGACTGCAACCTAATGCGTTGGACTCTGGAAGAATAACAAACATCACGATTATTAAAACGGGGGGCCGAAACATTAGGACACAACGAGACTCAGGGATGCAGGCTTACATGAATGGGTGGAAGGGTATGAATCATGCAGAATCACAGGGCAAGCATGCTGTTTACAAACAAAGTGAACGAAACGAAACAAAATGTAGGGAAGCCAGGGATGGATGATGGACGAGGCAAGCAACAAAATGGGGTTTCGCCTTACATTTGAAGTATGCGAAGCTTGGGGGGGTGGTGTTTGAGTTATCTTTGTTCTCTTGGTTGATTGGTTGTTGTTGGTGGTTTGTTTGTTGGTTTAAAAATGAACAATTAGCATTACAAAATTCATATATCATCATATGCATACAGCTAGAAATAAAAGAAAGAGAATAAGTAACCGTGATTAAATGTTAGGAGTCGCTGGGTCCCCTAGGGGAACCCCAAAACTGAACATGGGACGATAACAGTGATTAATGGGGCTGATCTGATGGGAACGTCTTATCAATCATCGCCAAATCCTCTTGTATGATTTAGTTACTGATTAAATTGTATTAAGTAAGGCAATTTAAAAGGCTCTAATGATCAAAACTGTGCTATGCAAGCGATAAAGAGAAGCGAGTATGTGTGTGTTAGCGGTGGCAAGAAGCGCAGCGATTCGAGATTATAGATTATAAAACAGATTTCGTACTTCACATGGTCGATCCGGGAACTCTTGCTTGAATGTGCGCTCGATAACGTGATATCTGCAAAAGGTAAATGGCACTGATTAGCAATCGGTGGTCGCTATTTTCGGCCATGATCCACTCACTTGGACTGCAAACCGCCACCGGGGGGAAGACCTTCGATGTCGTCTCTGTTTTGGAGACACTTCAGCAGATCCACGTAGTCGGTAACCTTGCTAGACTCTATCTCATCTGCAACAAGATCAGAGAAGAACACATTGGTTAGCAAAGCACGGCTAGTAGTTGGTAGTGCAATCTTAGCCTAGGAGACTTTTATAGATAGATATTTATTTACATAAACGATGTATAAAGAAATACTAATGGAATTACATATTTAAGCTACTTCAAAGCAAATTTAATAAATACATATGGGGATTCTGGTTATTGGAGAGTATTAACTAAAATTGTGTGACCATTGCAAGCGTATTATTTTCAAACATTAATTAAAAACTGTTTTACAGGTCGATGAAAAAATAAGGAGTGTGGTAGGGACGTACATAATTTGAACATTTTTTAAGTGCCTTCAATAAGTAATAATGTATTTTCGGTCGACCTGTACAACCCATAAAGGAAACCATAACAGAAAACAAACGACTGATAAAAAAAAAAAAAGCTTCCTAAGCATGAATATCGGTTTAGTTGAACTTTTGTAGAGATTTGCAAAAATACTGTAATGTTTCGTTTAGGAAATCAATTAATGACTTTAGCTGACGGGGCATGCGATTTTGGTAATCTGTCGGATTGGTGGATATTATCATAAAATGTAGTACACAGATAACTTATTAGCGGGCGGGGCTGGTGGTACGCAAAACAAAATCAAACCAATCAATCGATAAGATAAACGATAACAAAATGACAAAGTTGCTTTCGAAATTTACAAACTACTAATCTATAGACGTACCTTATGCTCACTCATCTTAAATTTGTATAGCTTTCTGTTTCTTGTTCTTGCACTGGCATTGACACGCCCATTTGGCTTAATCGCCCTTTACTTTGGCAATAGTGTTTTTGAAATTGGGACTTGTAGTACGAGGCGCGAACAACAACCATTAAACAACGACAGCGAATGGCTAAAATTTTCCTTTTGACAAATTACTTTAAATAATGGTTAGGCATTAGGTGGAACTTGCTGACAGTTCGTAGGAACTTGGTAAAAATCATAAAACTGAGAAATGAACTGAAAATAAATGCTGGCACATCTTGTGTTTTGAATAAAATATGTGGTTTTGTGGGGAAGGGGAAAAAATGAAAATTGTAATGAAAACTGAAAACTGAATCCAATAGATTAGCAGACAAACACGTTTGCTTCGGTTTTCAAATCGTTCTTTAAGTTATATTTTGATTTAGCAAGGGAATATGGGGTTGCATCAGTGGTTATTCATTAATCACTATAGATCATGTATGCTAGGACGAGGTGCATGACATTGGCTCTTTACACTTGGCTCGAAAAATTCACAGATTGATCACTAAATGGGTACAATTATTTCGGGGTATCAGAGCTTCGGGTGCCGTTTAGATGTGCGAACTTGATCAATCGGTATGGGTAAAGTAAACGTTTGCCGCTTCGGTATAAACAAGCACAACAGTTGGTGAGCATAAGGTTTACAATTTGGTTTCATTTAACCTACGTATACATAACATTCAAAACCCCTGGCTAGACTACACTAGGCTAAGTAATTTGTCTGGACATTTGAGTATTTGTCTTCTTTGGTTAATGGCTTAGATCTAGGTAATTTGGTAATTTTCATAGCTACTGTAACCATTGGTGGGGCACGGCATGCTCTAGTTGCTATTCACTAAGTCGCTAGTCATAAACTATACGCAATCGAGTTAAAGTATTTGTCTATATATCGACAAGGTCACGTCTAAAACGCCGGCCCGCCGAAATTCACTTTGGTGTTTCGAATACTGAAGTCGCTAGTATCTCAGAGATACTCCTCAAATGGAGACATCAATTAGTTATTGCTTTATGTACATAATCCAGGTAATACTTCAACGATATCGAATGACACGCCTGTTTCAATGAGCGGCTGCTTGCAGGTAAATATATAGTTTCTTTTTGGTATGTTAGCTTCTTAGCTCTTTCTTTAGCCTATCTACGACGATCCTTCTCTGAAGATATTTTGTCTCTACGCTCTCGCTTAGAGAGTACTATGCCTACTAGTTACATCAATTCCAAGTGTTCTTTTTTAGTGTTGATACCTGCTTACGTTAATATTGCATTTTCTTTGATTGATTTGCATTGAGGCTTTTATCAAATATAGAGGTATACGTAGACGTATATATATACACATACAAACTGGATGACGGGTCGTTTAACTACTTAGCTCGGGCAGGCTCGCCGATAATTGTTAATATTTAGGTGTATATGTACTAAAACTAAATGGGCTGGATTTCGCATACATGGAACGCTTTGGCAGTGGCTGTATTACACACAGGCATTTATAAATAATACTATAACTCACGCACAAACACTCGCACGCCGACCACTCTTTGGTGGTCAGAGCCACACGCACAGCCAGCAGATATGACAAACTAACACGCTATACAGGTATTTGCTATGCATTAATGATAGGATATTGGTAGTACACCCACACACGCCCACATTTACGTACAGGAAGGGCTCCTTGGTCGAACTGTTACCCATCCGCCGCACAAAAGTGCAAGGCTAGGAAGTGGTAGCAACGCAATCGTACTCTAATGAACACAATTTTGCAGAATTCATCAACAAATTCTGGCTAATGGGGAGCACATTTCTCAAATTTTAGTCTTTTCTGATTTATGGTAGCATAACGTGAAATTGACTTCCAAGGGAGCTTTTACTGTACAGCACTGTGGGTGGGTGCAGGCTTCATTCTTGGCATTCATAATGGCAATGGTTTGGTTTTGTTTTTGTTTCGGATCTGATTTGAAACTACTTTTGGAAGGAACTATGGTTCTGGAATCGAGTTATGGACAAAGGGCGATAATTCTATAATTACTACGATTCTAAGGGAAAAACTGGGGGTTCGAGGGTTTATGGACATCGAGGCGATGGCCACTCTCAAAATTTGTTCGTGGCGTTCAAGGTACAAAGTATACGTATTTCGCTTTGATAAAGACACGGAGACGGAGACCACTACGCCATGGATCAACAGTTTACGATTAGTTATAAACAGAGTAGACGACTAAGACAACCTCTTGTGATCTTCTCGATTTGTTTCTCCAGCCTGTTCTCAGCCTCTATCGCCTCCATGGTGGGCTTCGGAGCTCCTGGGAAGGCGATAATGATGATGCTCATGTTATCCCGACTGCCCTGTAATCGAAATGACATACAAGATAATTAACAAAACTGTATATCCAAGCGCAGTGCAGGAACTCACCTTGTGCAGGCACGTGTCCACCACCTGGTTGGCGATGTTGACCAGGTCGCTGGTCACCCGCATCCGCGAGTGAATGAAGCTGCACACGTCCTCGTTGGTCATCACGTCCCAGATGCCGTCACATGCGAGCACTAGAAACTCATCGGTGTCTTGTCGGCTCTGGCAGAAGATCTCCGGCTCCGGCGAGACCAGCTGCTCACACTGTCCCTTCTCCTTCACGTTCTTGAAGTCGTAGTCGCCGAGAGCACGTGAAACCGCCAGTGTTCCGTTCACTCGCTTGATCATAACGCTGCCGCCGGCATTGTGGATGCGCTCCTTTTCCTCCGGCAGGATGGGCTTATGGTCCTGCGTTGCGAACACGGGCACCCCCTGACGGCAGAGCACTGCCCGAGAGTCCCCACAATTGGCGATGTACACCTGGGTGGAGCTGACAAATGCGCAAACGGCGGTGGTACCTCCGCACTTCTCCTCCTCCATGGTGAACTCCGGCAGATCCCGCATAACCTCGTCGATGCGAAGGAATCCCGTGCGTATGCCCTTTACGTGGTCGCCGCCAATGAACTCATCGGTGCTGACAATGCTGTCCAGCAGGTGCTTGGCGCAGTGCTCGGAAACCTTGCAACCAGCGTGCCCATCGAACACGGCAAAGAAGCTCCAGTCGTCCAGGGCATTGCCCAGGCCGGCACGGGCGTAGTACGCGTCCTCCATCTCGCAGCGCCAGCCCTGCATGGAGCTGACTCCGAAGAGCAGCTTGTTGCCCGCGCCCTCGTCATTGTGCTTGGCGGTGTTCGGCTTATCCAGGAATCCGCCCATGTCCACTGAACATGCTGTGTTGTGTGCGCGCGGGTGGAATTCGTTCTCTGTGCCAAGACCGGACTGTCCTGCGGCGAGTAAGAAAACAAACATGAAAATTAAACATCTGGACAATCAATAAACAGCAACGGTGAACGAGCCGACCCTGAACTTGAACTCTGTGCACGGCATACATGTACAATGGAAATGGGGGAGCAGCCAAAAGGGTAGGTCACCAAAGAAACTGAAAATGGCCTGTTGGAGTGAAGCAGTCTTGAGTTTCCTAACAAAACAATTCGATGAATCATACACCTTTCGAATAGTTATGAAATTAACAATAAAATGGCTCATGAATTCTTTAAAGTTTCTCCGAATATGCATATTTAAATCGAATTCCTTTCTTCCTGGCCAGAAGCCTTTTCTTTGGAAATCGTTAGATAATTTTTTAAAATTATCTGCCACAATAAATAACAGTTCTTAGTGCCGGCGATCGTTCGCCTGACAGTTATACGATACCCTGATCTAATCAAATCGGAACCAACCTATAGATTGTCTGCAATGCCTTGTTGAAGATAGTTATTTTGAAAGTTTTCAAGACTACTAAGACTTGGAAACCGGCGAAGCTTGGGCTTATCTTCTGAAAAGACACAGGCGATATTGAAAAACGACTTGTGTTTTTGTACTTTCAGGGGCTTCCTTTGGAAGGAAACTATTTAGCCGCAGCAAGGACTCGGCCCCGCTCCCCCACCCACACTTTTCACTTTTCATGGATATTCACTGCTCTTGCGGTTTCTTTTTGTGTTTTTGTTTCGTTTCGATTTCCCTCTGCACATCGATTTATCAAGGACGTGCGCGCCTTGTCCTTCCGTATCAGTTGCTAATTTTAGCAGGTCCACAGATGGCACGCCCACACGCGACTGGTTGTGGGCGTGCGGAACCGCTACTCGACGATGCCCACGCCGTCGGAGTGGTCAAAAGCGGAATAGAGAAAGGAGGGCAGAAAAGTAAAAGGAAAACCGAAGCATTTTCGGCGCGCGGCAGCATCCAGAACAACAAGAATTTTCCTAGGGGCCTACTTTTCTTCGGAATGGCCGAATCGCACAATTTTCAGCGGGGGGTGCAATAGGCATGGCCCCCAAAAATTGTTAATGAAAACACACGCACGGGGATGTCGATTTATGAACTTTGCTGGCGGTGGGAAACCTTCGCTCTCGTTATTTTCACCTCGCAAATTTTAAGTTGATGGTCTCCGCTTCGCTTTTGCCTCCGACTCTGCTTCTTCTTTCTCTGCTGCTCGGCCGCCGCGTGTGTGTGGGTAAGTGTGTGTGTTGGTCGAGTAGGTAAAATTTAAGAACGAAAAATCGCGATATTGTGCGTTGGGGACATCACCGTTGAGCACTGTTTCGACTTCCGGACTAACTGCACAACAATTAACAATTAGCAAGAGATTGCTCGCTGCACTCACGCGTCGAAAATTCAATTTTTCCTAATATTTTGATTAACAAAGTGACGCACACTCACTCACTCACTCAGCACGTCTCGCCGCTCTGCTTATCCAATATATGTACGAATGTAGCTGGTAGCACTTCCACTTTCAGTTCAGAATAGAAGCTCTTTTGATTCTTACTTTTTACTTCACTTTTGGCCAACTAAATAACCGATGAAAGAAATTAAAAATTAAATATATCTGCTAACTGGCTCGTTTTATTTAGGGTTGTTGATAATATATCAAAATATCGATATACCGATACTTCTTCAAAGAATGAAGATATTCATATCGAAGATTTTTTGAATGCCAAAATATCGAATCTGATATTTATTTTTATATATTTTAATACTTTTTCCTTTCATTACAAAGCTGTGTCGAATCACCACAATCTTAGCTTAACATTTATTTGTCCTATTTGTAAACGAAAGTACTAAAATGCAGGGCCCTTACAAGATGACCAAAAGGTGACAAGTTATATATGTAAACATATTTAAAATAAAATAGTATTATCAAAATAACGAGCCGTTTATAAAAGCAAGAAAAAAATATTTTTGTCTAAAAAATATTAAATATATCGATATTATACAGTTATATTTTAAATATTATTTTTTGTTTATTATAAAAATAGTATATATTCAATATATTTTTAAACATCCGACAACTCTAGTTTGGTTGGTTCATTCAAGTCATTCACCAACACTACTTTAGTTATTTTTTATAACGCAAGAGGGCGTCTTAAGAGTTTACGGTACATTTATTAACATTTAACGAATTTTTAAAAGTGAAAAAAAAAACTTTTTATAATACTTAAAAACACACAAGCTCAAGACACTAGAGCCAAAAGCTCATCTAACGTGGCCTGACTAGAAACGAGGACGACTTCTGGTCGCTGATTTTCTGGATCAGCCGACCATATTCTTTATAACGATTACTTTAAAACCATTACATCATGTTTTCGATGGGAATTCGAACCCCAAGCTCATGTGTTCATTTAGTAACTAAATTTTAGTTTATCAAAAATCCTTTTTTTTTCAAAATAGTAAAAAATGTATAAAAAACAGAAAACAAAAACCATAATTTTTGTTTGGCAGCTACAAGGATTTGACACTCTGGTTATTTTTTGTTTTTTACTAATAAATTACTGGGGTCTTGGAATCCCCAGCATTTTATCTGTGATTTATGAGAAACAAGTTAATCAGTGTCTTAATATGAATGAAATTCGAATTTCCGACACTTTGGATTGTTTATCAGTATAATGGTTGCTTTAAATAAATGAAAGGCTCTTGATTGAGATAAGAAGAAAACAATTCAAAATGTATCAGAAAATAAATATGCTATAAAATGTAGGTGAACATTTTAACGCTAGGGGGCGTTGTAGTGGAACGTTTTTAAAATGTCTTTAAAATTTTTTTTGGTTTTTCATTTTTGTGAGTAGATTTATAATGTTTAACAATAATTGCCGATTTCTTGTGTCTAATAATAATAACTACACACGTAAATATTTAACTACTCCAAAATAATGATTTTATTATTCTGAAAATTGAAATATTTACCAATCAAGCAAAATTTAAAATTTTTTATGGGGTGCTTATAAGAAAGAAATAAAGGTTAGAAAAATTATATTTAAATTTGATCTCTAATAACCTTTGAATTCCAAATCTCGAAGTATTTATTATAACGGTTATTTGTTTAGAGTGTGCAAATGAAATTCTGAGAATTGAAAGTTTATGTGATACCGTTTATTATGGGGTTTCATCAAGGCGTCATGATAAAAGAAAGAAAGAATAAAAACTACACCCGATAATTGCTCGATCGTAAATTAACCAAATCAGTTTTCAAGTGGAGTGGGGAGTATAAAAGCAAAATCTGAAATACGATCAGGCGCACTCTCAACAAAATTGGCAAGTCGTGAAAGTGGAAACTTAAAATATTCTACAATGTGGTTCAAGGCGTTGATTCTTTCCCTGGCGGTCGTGGCCGTTCTCGGAGCAGTGGCTCCACCCGCCTTCCAGATATCGGAGGAGACATCTTTGGCCGACATCTTGCTGAACTCTCCTGCTTTCCGGAACGCTGAAACCTTCAACTTGGGCTGCATTGACTTTTACGTTCCGGAACTTAAGGTCCATGCCGACAAGTACGACGATGATGTAAAAGTTTGCCAGGAAGACTACAAAAAGGGCTTCGAGGGTATCGATGCCACTTACGCCTTTTCTCGCAATGAGCTCTTCGACTCGCTCCGAGGATCCTGCAGTGCCCTGCTCGGCTGCGACAGCCAGACTACCAACTCTGGCGCCTTTACTTGTCTGACCAAGACGGTGAGGAACTCGCAAAAGCTTCGATTGGATAATTTTCTCATTTTGTGCTTAAAATTTTTTAGTGTCCCGATGAGATCAAGTCGATAAACAAAATTGCTGACAATGCCACTGATCTAAACAAGGAAGTCGTGGAAAAGTTCAACGCCATCGAGACCACATTGCTAAACTGCCAAGTCCTGGCCCAGCGCACCTACAGGACCAACCATGGCCAGTGTCTGGAGGATCTTAACGGTTGCCTGGATGACCCCAACTGGGAATATCCTGCCAGCACCGCTCTTTACTAAGGGTTTAAGCCTGAAATTGTACAGGCGTGAAAGTTTCCAATTAAATTTATACATAAAGTTTGAAATTTGAATGTTAATGAACAAGATTAAAGTTTTATTCAAGAGACGAATAAACCCATATTAAATGAATCTATTAATCGAGAGTTTAACTTATACTTCAAACTCACTTGAAATAAAAGACTCCAAAGCGTTTAAAAATTTGTGTTTTTTAAGGTAAATCATATTTTAGCGAATATTTTAAATAAAAGTCCAAATTAGATTGCCTGATTTATTTTTTATTCAATTTATAGATGACGTTATTCTAAAAGTGTTTAAATGGCTCTACCAAAAATTGTTTACACCACAAATGTAGTTGTGGGTTGACAAGTGGTAGTAGTAGTATAATCATAAGTAGAACTGATTAAGATATTCTTTTCTCCCTTGAGACAAGCGTTTAATGCCTCGTATGTGTCAGCGGTATCCGTCACATAGTTGACGTCTGCCTTATTTAAGCAACTATCCTTTTGAGTGCTTATTGTAAGATAGGCCTCCTCCAGTTTTGTTGCGATTTCGGTGGCATTTGCCGAAATACTATAGAATATCTTGGAGTTCTCGGCGGACACGGAACTGGCACATTCCAAACGATTCAGCAATTCCTCGAGGGTTGTTTGCTCCTTGGTCCAAGCCTGACAGCAGGCACTGCAGGAATTGGTGGCCTGGTCACTGATTTCCTTGTAGGATCCCGCATAGGAGTTATCAATAACTTCCTTTGCCATGGTGAAGTTCGAGGTGCAGTATTCGAATTCAGTCTCGTACTGCACTACAATTGCATTCAGTTTGGGTGAGTAGAAGTCAAAGCAGGTCCTTGAGGAGTCTGCGTGGGTGACAGCTAGCTCTCTGTTCTCGGCCTGCAGTTCCTGGATGTGGGCGTTGGGTCTGAGCGGAGCGTGAATTTTGAAGGCCTGGGAGGCGCCCAAGAAGAGGCAGATTGCCAGGATCAGGGATGGCTTTCGGAACATCTTCGTCGGAGTTGTGGCGGCCAATGGGCCAGCCTACACCTATTTATATGGAAGCACAACGTACTATTGTCATTATCTTTTTAATTAAACCATTATAACGCCTGTTTTCGTGGTGTAGATAAAGAGTTGAATGGTTGACAAGTCTATTTGTTCAGAGGATATCGGGGTACTTTTTGAAATGATATCTATATTTCTTTTTTGAAAATAACAATTGTGTGCGGATTATTTTATCTTTAACAGAAGGCAGTGATTCTAGAGCGCAATGATCTAACTAAGCTTACGGATGAAATTCAGTAGAATTATCAAAAAGGATAATCCAACTAAGAACTAAACTTAAAATTTGAATTGGCTTTAATATTAATGGGAATTTTATTCAAGTTAAAAGAAAAGAGAATTCTCCTTAAAAATATTTTCCTTTGGCATTTTTTTAAGAAAATTATATTGCTGCAAATATGTTTATGAAAAAGTCTATATTAGATTGCTTGATATTTCTTTATTCAATTTTTAAACGACTTTCCACTAAAAGTATTTTTAGAGCCATTTAAACCAAAATGTTCCATTGCCTCAGGTGTAGGTAGATCCTTACAAGGCTTAGAAGTAGTTAACTTATACGTCGATTACTTTATTATTTTCTCCCCTAAGACATGCGTTTAAGACATCGTAGGTGTCTGCGGTTTCCGTCACATACTTGACCTCTGCATTATTCAAACATATATCTTTTTGGGTGTTTAAAGTAAGATACTCTCCTTCCAATTGTGTAGCAACCTCGGTAGCATTTGCGGAAATACCGTAGAACGTCTTTGAGCTCTGGGCGGAATCTGCACTGATATAGTCCAGACGATTGACCAGTTCCTCAAGAGTTGGTTGTTCCCTGGTCCAAATCTGGTAATCAACGATATGAATGCACGAAGTTTTGAGCTGGTTTCCAATATAATAGTAGGATGGCAAGTAGTTTCGATTAATAATGTCCTTCGCCATAGTATAGTTCGATGTACAGTATTCGAATTCAGTCTCGTACAGCGCTAAAATTGCATTCAGTTTGGGTGAGTAGAAGTCAAAGCAGGTCCTTGAGGAGTCTGCGTGGGTGACAGCTAGCTCTCTGTTCTCGGCCTGCAGCTCCTGGATGTGGGCGTTGGGTCTGAGCGGAGCGTGAATTTTGAAGGCCTGGGAGGCGCCCAAGAAGAGGCAGATTGCCAGGATCAGGGATGGCTTTCGGAACATCTTCGTCGGAGTTGTTGCGGCCAATGGGCCATCCTACACCTATTTATATGGAAGCACAACGTACTATTGTCATTATCTTTTTAATTAAACCATTATAACGCCTGTTTTCGTGGTGTAGATAAAGAGTTGAATGGTTGACAAGTCTATTTGTTCAGAGGATATCGGAGTACTTTTTAAAATGATATCTATATTTCTTTTTTGAAAATAACAATTGTGTGCGGATTATTTTATCTTTAACAGAAGGCAGTGATTCTAGAGCGCAATGATCTAACTAAGTTTTCGGATAATATTCAGTAGAATTATCAAAAAGGATAATCCAACTAAGAACTAAACTTAAAATTTGAATTGGCTTTAATATTAATGGGAATTTTATTCAAGTTAAAAGAAAAGAGAATTCTCCTTAAAAATATTTTCCTTTGGCATTTTTTTAAGAAAATTATATAGCTGCAAATATGTTTATGAAAAAGTCTATATTAGATTGCTTGATATTTCTTTATTCAATTTTTAAACGACTTTCCACTAAAAGTATTTTTAGAGCCATTTAAACCAAAATGTTCCATTGCCTCAGGTGTAGGTAGATCCTTACAAGGCTTAGAAGTAGTTAACTTATACGTCGATTACTTTATTATTTTCTCCCCTAAGACATGCGTTTAAGACATCGTAGGTGTCTGCGGTTTCCGTCACATACTTGACCTCTGCATTATTCAAACATATATCTTTTTGGGTGTTTAAAGTAAGATACTCTCCTTCCAATTGTGTAGCAACCTCGGTAGCATTTGCGGAAATACCGTAGAATGTCTTTGAGCTCTGGGCGGAATCTGCACTGATATAGTCCAGACGATTGACCAGTTCCTCAAGAGTTGGTTGTTCCCTGGTCCAAATGTGGTAATCAACGATATGAATGCACGAAGTTTTGAGCTGGTTTCCAATATAATAGTAGGATGGCAAGTAGTTTCGATTAATAATGTCCTTCGCCATAGTAAAGTTCGATGTACAGTATTCAAATGCAGACGCGTACTGCACTACAATGGCATTAAGTTTGGGTGAGTAGAAGTCAAAACAGCTCCTAAAGGTGTCTGGGTGGGTGGCTGCTAGCTCTCTGTTTTCCTGCTCTAGTTTCTGGATATGGACGTTGGTTCTGTTCGTAGCGTGAAGTTTGAGGGCCAAGGAGGCGCCCACAAACAAACAGGTTACCAGGATCAGGGATTGCCGTCGAAACATCTTTGCCGGAGCTCTGGAAGCTAATCGACCATCCAACCTCTATTTATATGGAATCTTACAGCACCATTTCTACGTAATTATCTTTTTGATATACCTCGTTAATTAAATATTATTATAATATCTAAACCAACTATAATTCCTGGTTTTGATTATGTTCAATAGTTGACAATCTATTTGCTCAGACACCTCTGATAATTCAAAGCTTAATTGCCAAATAAAAATCGTGTATCGCAGACAATTTTTTGCGAATTAGTTATCTCTAAAGGAAGGCTGTGATTCTAGAGAACCTATAATCTAAAGTGAAACAAGCTAATAGAAGAAATTAAGTAGAATTATCGAAAAACACAATCCAATTAGGAAATACATTTTGACATTTCATCGAACAAAAAGCAATTAAAGAATATAAAGATAATTGGAACGACTTATGGATATAAAAGGGCTGATCAGTACCCCCACTGCATTCAGTTGTGAGTGAAGGTCTTACAGCTTGACAATGTTTTCCAGATCCACGCTGTTCGTAGGGATCCTAGCCATTGGCCTGGTCACTGGCCTGGGCATTGGTCCCAAACTAAAGGTTTCGAAACTGAAACTGCCGATCACCAAAAAGCTCGAAAGTCTGCACCAGCAAACAGAGGTCCTGGCTGCTCTCGAGCCCACCAAATCCCAGTCCTGCTTCAACTACTATACCCCGATCCTTAACAAGTACACGTTCAGGTACGAGGTGGACTTTGACTTGTGTCTGTCGGTCTTCAATAGCTCCAGTACCGAGGTAACCGAAGCCTGGAACAGCACTCTGTACCAAATTCAGAATGGTGGGGATAAGGGATGCTCAGAGTTCAAAGAATGTAGGAGTTTTTCGGACCTCGACTTGGCTTTCAGGTGTTTCGCCGAATCGGTAAGTAGACTTATATACATAATTATATTATTTATTTTGCAAATATTTATTTTTGTTTAGGGCGCAGAACAATCGAAAGTTCTTTTCCAAGTGTCTGCTAATGTCACCGAGGTTGCTTCTTTTGTGAAGATCAGTCTACTGACCCTCCAGACCCAGTTGGATTCCTGTGTGAATCATGCTCAAAGGGAATACATTGAGGACACTTCTAGCACCTACGAACAATTGAATAATTGTCTTAAAGGAGCCCCTCTTCCTGAAGTGACTACTACTACTACAACTACTACTTACACTACTCCTGAGCCTACTCAAAGCACTTATTAAATTTTATTTGTGGAATAAAAAAAACTTTAGATTGAGCCTGAATTAACAAACACTTCAAATTGATTTAAAAACTGTAACATCATAGAAAGTTGTTCTAAAATAGAAACTCTCTTGTTCAGCTTTGGACCACCCGAATTTAGAAATCATATCAATGTCGAAACCGAAACTATCTGGCTAATTTCTTTTATGTCAACGTTTAACGACAGTCCCACAGAGTTTGTCCAGTTTTCCCACAGTCTTCTTGAGATTTTTGACCATATCGCACGATCTATCAATGGTTGGTTGGACATCCTTTGACCTTGCCACACCCGAAAAACCAACAATCCAGCAGCCTGTGCCGGCAGGTACACGGAAATCAATTCCTATCTTGTCCCGACCTAAAATACAAGAGTTGCCTTTTCAAGAGTGCCGACACACTAGCACACGAAGCCTTTGTCAGCGACCCAAAATTTTGCGCTTAATTAATTGTGAAATATTGGCTGGAAAATCAATTGACAATTGCGTTTGCCTTCGCCTTTGCGTTTGAGTTTGACTCTTCCTGCCGCAATTGAGTTGTAATGGAATTTGCAGCAAATGGCCAAGTAGGCGTCAAAGGATCGTCGAACTCTTAAAGTGCAGAGAAGAAAACGGCAGAGGTTTCTATAAAACACGTTCCTACTCCTTGCTATTTTGTTTCATTGATAAAGTAAAGTAATTTCGTCCAGTGCACATTTACCGACGTTGCTGGAACTACAATTGCCAGTCATGTCTTCATAAATTTTATTGAATTGAACCGCCGACCGGAGTCGCGGTCTTCAACATGCGCCAAAAACACAAACACACAAATCGGCTCCGAAAGCGGGTCAGGGGGTGGATCGGTGGGTGGAAAATATAAGGGGGGACTAGGATACCTCTAGCCTATTCCGACTATTTCATCTTTTGCCGACGGCGTACGGCTCATGTTGTATGCAGCCTTAAATTGAATCGTTACAAATTTTGTTGCTCGTTATAGCAAGCGTTTTATTGCCCAACCAGTTTTGGCCCGCAATGCAAAGCAGCAAAAAGCCGAGGCTCTGAGATCTGGCTCTTGGCCAGAATGTCGAGAGCCAATCCGGAGATTATGATCGCTAAATGGTCACAGAAAACCAGCCGGCCCCGCCCCTCCTGGGCTGGGAAGAAACGGTAGCCCCTAGAACAACGGGCAGCGTTTAATAACTTCATTAAATGCCCTTTGACATTTATGCCAGACACACACTTATTTATGTGGCACTATCTGCCATTTGAGATCGGTGCAGGTCCAGGTCCAGGCCCATAGGTACAGGTAGCGAGGAACTCTATAAATTACATAATCATCTGATAGTGGAACTGTTTACAAGCCGGGTCTCGAGACAGGCACACCCACAGTAGCCACTCGGGAGACTCGGTATAAAAAGGTCATCAACTACTCGACAGAACCTATTCCAATTCCCATTGATTAGCTGCTTTTTTGTTTCATTTTATTTGACTGTCTATTCTTACATTTATTTTTTTATTAGGCAGCCGCTGGTCAGAGCTAATTGCTCTAATTTCCAGCTAAGCAGACGCGCTCTTGACATTTTTCTGGCATGTTGCTGCCCTCGGGGCAATGCCATAAATATTGCCTTTCGATCGGATGAGATCGGATCGCAGCTTGCGCCCGCCGATTTTTATCAGGAGTCATCGCAGCCAAAGTCCGCCGCTGGGATCCAAAATTTGTCGTCGTTTTGTGGCGGCCCTTTTGGCCAAACAATGGTTTTCTGGCCACGGCCATTTGAATTTCAGTTGTCCCAGAGACCCGGCCGAAAAATGCTGAGATTTATTACGGCGAATGCCCTACAATCTGGAGGAGACTTTTCACTTGCCATTCCGCCTTATCTCGCCCAGCTCCCTGGCACTCAACTTCTAATATATAGAGCTACAAAAACACGTGGCTTTAATCAGCAAATTGATAGTAAAAACTACTCATAATTGATCGACTAATTGCTGTGTTTTTATTTTTAAATAAAAACAAAAAGTATGCTTAAAATTAAATGAACTTGTTGTGTCAATAATTATTAATAGATTGGGAGCATAATTTTTTTTGGATTAGTGATTGGGGTATTATAAAATATGGAAAACAGAAAAATGTAGCACACTTATTAAGGGTTTATCCTAGGGGATTAACTGGTTGTTTTAATTGGTTCTATTTCATTAGTTACTTTGTAACTTAAACTGTTCTTAAGAGCATGTATGTTTCGTCTTGGAAGAAGTGATTTTCGTTCGATCTGCCGCTGTGATTTTTGCGTATTCCGTCCAATTCCCCGCTGAAAATCAATAGTGATCGATATGCGGCGGCCAGTTGACAGAACTTTGTTATCGTGTTGCCATTGTGGAGCTTTATTTTTTGGTGGATTTCAGCTTGAAGCACAAAATTATTATGTATCTCGGAGCGATTAACAGACGCATTTCAATTTTATTGCGCCAGATCATTATCGGAGCACAGATTGGACCTTTTTGTTTGGCTGTCGTTGCTGGGGCTGAAAACTGTACGACAACAAATCATTAGACTCCTAATCATGATCATAACAGAATCATAATAAAAAACGAAATCGGCTAAGAAACCCCAGGCAGGCGATTGTCGTCGTCTTGGTCTTCGTCGATCGGCATCAAAGGCGGCCCGAAATTAACATTGAGGCGCGAAGAGAAACTTTCCTTTCGCCGGACGACGCCAATGATTTCACCTAGTGCCACATATTGGCCAATGCCACAGCGAAGGAGAACGTGATACCATCAGTACACTGAGAGAAATTAGGGCTTAAAAGAAGCTAAAACCTTTCTGAGTGGGAAAGAAGTCAGATCAGGACATTCGGTAAAGGTCTCCAAGGATTTTAAGTCAAGTATATTTTTAAAAATGTTCCATTTTTTTTTCCACAGTACATCCTCATTATCAGCGCTTATAGACGTGCTATTGCGGGTGGCTTTGGCAATTAGACAAGTGGCTGGGTGATAGAGAAAAAAAAATGCTGGCGGCATATTTCAAAAACGCGATCCACTAATCAACTAGCCAAATGCAGGAAAACCCGTTGAGGAGGTGTGAAAATCGTTTACCAATTCACCAAGAACAACAACAGCGGCCATAATGGGTCTGCAATGGAGCGCAGTTGGGCAAATAAATTAATCAAAAGGAAATCGGCGTTGAAAGCAAACGAGTTTTAAAGTTACCCACCGTGGACCGCTAATTCACATATGATTTATTTTATAAATTAGGCAGCCCACTCGGAGATCAAAGCTGCTGCCATATCGCACTTAGCCCCATCGGTTTGTCAAATAATCATCTCCTGGTTTTAGGTTTTTGATCGCGCCGCCCGTCAGAGAAAGACAAAGGCACTTCGGAAGCGGCTTCTGTGGCCCGAAATCCGAAAAAATAACGAAACGAAATGGTTTAATTTGTTTGTCCAGCGGCAGCGTTTGGTAATGAAACGCTAAGTGGCCAGCACTTGTTTAACCAAGGCCCTATTGCCCCGGCTACTCGCCCGGTTCGGCTGACAAATTGTTTAGCCCTCGACTGAGTGTTCAGGTGAAGCCGAAATAATGGAGTCCAAGGGTTAAACACTAAAGATGAAAGTTCCTCTCACCCCATCCCAGGCTTTCCCCCACTGCTCTTATCAATTTAAGAATACAACTTTATCGCTTAATCCCCGACTTTTCCAATTATGGCACTGAGAATATGTTTGCTTTGAAATTGATTTGATTTACACCCCTCATAAGGGGAGTGTTAACCACCCGTAGCCGAAAAGAAAGGGAAGCAGCCTCAGTTCGCTGTTTATCCCATTCGCTTCACCCCTCAGCGAAGCGCTTTATGATATATGTTATTTTGATAACGAGAGTATTTAACCCGACATGGGGTTAGGAAAACAGTGATGCGAACTGGAGCTAAAAATAGCTGATATGTATGCAGTTCTTTAAAATATTAAATACACCAAATAAACATTAAAATTTTTATTTTATTTTACTGTTAATTCTGAAAGTGTAGACTTTTGTTTTAAATCCACGTAGGTGATGAGCCACGCACCTTAGATCTCTATTTATAGTGATTAAATTTATTGACATAACATATATTGATAAATATTTAATATTTATTATAAATCTAAATCGCATCTAAAAACTAGCATAAAAAAAAAACATCCAAGTGAACAACACTGTAACTAAGAGCTGCCTCAGATACTCCCATAATTTGCCCGCCTAACGAGTCTCCGGACCAAATCCCAGGAACCCACAAACCACCCTCGCCTGGCCCGTCTTTTCTGGTGGTGGCTACCACATCCTCCTCTTGGATTCACTCCGCCGTTCTGCTGGCTGTCGACGCATATTAATCCAATTATCATGCACTGTGCACGAAATCACTTAATCGTTTCGAAATGCGGAAGACCAGCCAGATGAGGGGGCGGTGGCAACGCTTAAGCCACCAAAATGGTTACATTGGGATATTATGGAATAGTTGGACTTATTCCGGTTTAGTTGAATTTAGTTTCTGACTTTATGATTGTGATTGATGCGAGCTGTACGCCTGGATGTGTTTAAGGATGGCTGTCGCCTTTTGACAGATTCTAAATTGATTCCAAATGCAATCATAACAGGATTGAAAATGGCATACTATTTTTATTTAAAGAAATTCTTATTCTCGGAGAATAATCTAAAGTTTTACTATTTTTAAGGCAAGAACTTAGTCTACCATCAGAGGATACAATAAACGTTGCATCACTATCCCACGAGCCTTATACGAGAGTGAAACAATTTGATTTAATTAAAAAATTATGGGATTACATATATTAATGCTTGTCAAGCAATATATATGCAAATTTCGCAAACACCCAGCTCGCACGAAGGGAAAACAGGATGACAGGGAGCAGACTGCGGCGAGTGTCGCATATTAAAGAATATTTTATTTGCTTTTATTACACAGCACGCCCATCTCACCCTGGCCGGAGGCTATGTTGGCCTTTTCGTTCTCCCCACCCCTCAAACTCAGGAGTCCGGTCGTCCTTTCCGCGCCCACTT